ACAAACAGGAGTCTGGAGCTCTGTAGACGTGGGTGGGTTAGAGATAGCACATTCATTCACATTTTTTTTTTTTTTTTTTTTTTTTTGAGGAAGTATAGCCCTGAGCCAACATCTGCCACTCCTTCTCTTTTTGCTGAGGAAGACTGGCCCTCAGCTAACATCCATGCCCATCTTCCTCTACTTTATATGTGGGATGCCTACCACAGCATGGTGTGCCAAGCGGTGCCATGTCCACATCTGGGGTCTGAACTGGTGAACTCCGGGCCGCTGAAGTGGAACGTGCACACTTAACTGCTGTGCCACCGGGCCAGCCCCTTCACAAATATTTATTAAGTGCTAGGCACTGTTCTAGGTACTGGGGTCTTTGCTTTTCATTCTGATGAGGGGAGCTGACCCATTCAAATGAGTGCCTCCATGGGGGAATTAACAAGGAAATAGGATAGAGAGTGACTGTGGTGGAGGAGTAGGTGATCAGAGAATGACTGTAGAAATAAAGGACCTGAATTATGAGATGAGCCACCTCTGGGAAGATGGCAGGGAGAAGTGTTCTGGGCAAGGAGAAGAGCAAGTGCAAAGGCCCTGAGTCAGGGATGAGCAGGCACATTTGAGGAACTGTGAGGTTGCAGTGACTCAAGCATGGTGCACAATAGAGAGGGCCGGTGAGAGGAGGTTAGAGGCGGGCAGGAGGTGATAGATCAGCACTTGGTCCCTGGGCACTTGGGTTTATTCTGAGTGCGATGTTCAACCATGGGAATTTGAGACAGGCGAATGGATGAGATCACTTGGAGTGTGTATAGAGTGAAAAGAGGAGAGAACTCTGATATTTTTATTTGAAGAGAAGATCTACCTCAAAGGACTGAAAAGAAACAACCAGAAAAGTAGAAGAGAAAGCAAGATAATGTGGTAAAGAAATATGAAGAAAGAGAACTTTAAAGATGAAGGGAATTATTAAGTGGCAGATGATGGAGGGAGAAGGAAAAGGAAAGACTGAAAATGTGGACTATATTTGGCAGCATGAAGATCATTGCCAGCCTCAAAGAAAGCAGTCCTCCTAAATCTTCCTTTCTTTTACCCCCACATCCAACATCCTGTCAGTTTCCAGAAGGATGGAAGCCATATTGCAGTGGACCAAGATGCTAGCTGTTGGGGAGGCAGGGGTATTGTTTGATAGGAGGATGACTGAAGAGGGAGGAGGAGGAAAAAGCGAATGCCCAGTGAGAAGGGGCAGGAAGCACAGGTGGCCGCCCCAGGTGGCTGCTAGTGTGTAAGGAGCACTGATGAGAGAGCCATCCCTGTGTCTCAGCCGCATCTGTTAACTCAGAGTAGAAGAGTATAGGTGTTATAATTTTGGAGTGTTGGACTACAAAGCACACTGGAATTTCAGTGGTGGTGATGCAGGCTCAGCGAGCCGAGGAGTCGAAAGAAAGATTTCTTGGACTCTCAAGGTCTGGTAGTAGTACTCCTTTATTCAGAGAATAGCATGGTAGCATGGGGACAGGACCCATGGGCAGTCAGAGCTGCAAACATGGGTTGAGGGTAGGGCTAAAGTTAAGGCATAGGTATATGAATTATCTCTTTACAAGACAAAGGACAGATTATGTAAAAAAGTCATTAAAATGTAGGAGGTGGGGTCTGGTTATTGGGTGGTCCTGTAACTTTACATAAGAGTCAGATCAGAACAGGCCAGAACCTCCTGTGTTTCTGGAGGATGATACAGATCGGATGTAGGGCAGGACGCCTTGGGCTTCTCTCCCTGGGGCGGCCTTGATCCTCATCAGTGGGTGATGTAAGAGGGAGGAAGTAGAGACTAGGTGAGGGACTGTCCAGTTAGACTAGTGCATCAAGCAGGGGACAAGATGCTGATTTGGTGTCCACAAAGTGTGGCAACTCCAGCTTGACTGAGAGCAGCGTTGCCATCCTGGGGCCCCTCTCCCAGAGTGGAAGATGGCAGGTGACACAGGCTATGGTAGGAGTCAGGCCTGCAGAATGCATTGGTGGAAGATAGTGAGCATGCAAGGCCTTCAGCTTACCATCAGGCATGTGGTATTCTTCAGCAAAACCCCCTTGCAGAGGAAGTGAGCACCAGATCATGTTATCCTGCAACTGGATCCTACTGGAACCCCGTGTACCACAAGACCATTTGGTAGTTAAAATAGGAACCTCTGAGCTGAGCGCCCAGAAGTACCAGATATGCTGGAGAGCAAGCACACATATTTATACATGGCAGCCAGCCTTATATGCTTTGTAGCTCCTACTGTGTTTGTCCTTCTATAATTTATAATCTGTTCAGGCCATTTTTCCATCTCTTTTGTAAATTCCTGGGGATTAGGCTCCCTGGTTTACTCATCTTTGCCTTCTTCTCCAGTGCCCTGTATATATCAGGCACTCCTGCAAATGCTCAAGGCTTAAAAATCTGCCAGAGCCACCACACTCTGCACTCGAAGCCCCCGCCTACACCATTCCAGTTACATTTTGTGAGCAGTTGAGAAAATGGCCTGGTGTTTCCTTTGGCTAGAAGCAGTTGGTATTGCAAAAGTGGGTTGTTACTTCGGAACTTGTCTGCAGCTGTTTGCATGTGGATATTGAAAGAGGGAGTGATAGCCTTTCTAATTGTTTGGGCAAAGAAGGATTCTGTTTCTAATCTGGGACACCCAGCTGACTCATCAAGTGCCTTGACCTCTTAGGTTTCCATCTTCCCCTTAGGAAAATGGAAAACTGAGCTCCCGAGCTTATAGACAGCCCGAACCTGACACTGAGGAACAAATGATTTTCCAAAAAGAATTTAAATAATAGAATGAATTAAAATCCTAGAAAAATTAGCAACTAATTTTGATTTCCTTCAGACTGAGTAAATGAGTACAAATTACCTTTCCCAAAGGAAACTTCAAACAATGGATCCATCTATCGTGTCCATTTTAGGAGCGTGGTTCCCTTCCCACCTCTGACCCCTAGGTGGCAGCAAGAAGCAGAAGAACCTACTTGAAAGTACAGCAGATGTCCTGTTAGAGGGCCCTGTTCTTGAGTTGGGTCCTAGGACTGTGTTTTTGTTCACACTTCTGCCCTGCACTTCTGTTTCCCGAATGTTCCTAGTTTTTCTGAGCTAATTTAGGTACCAAGATATGGATTTTTAAAATTGTTGTCTCAGCCAGGATTTATAGAGCACTGTGTAGTCGGCTTTAACAGTTAAGGAAGTCTTGAAGTGGAGGAACAAAAGGAATGAGAGCATCAGAATTGGGACTCAGGGGCCGGCCCCATGGCAGAGTGATTAAGTTCCCGTGCTCTGCTGCAGTGGCCCATGGTTTCACCAGTTTGGATCCTGCATGCAGACATGGCACTGCTTGTCAGGCCATGCTGAGGCAGCGTCCCACATAGCCCAGCCAGAAGGATCCACAACTAGAATCTACAACTGTGTACTGGGGGCTTTGGGGAGAAGAAGAAACAAAAAGAAGATTGGCGGCAGATGTTAGCTCAGGGCCAATCTTTAAAAAATAAATAAACAAATAAAATGTCTTAAAAAAATAAAAAAGAATTGGGACTCAGAGACTGAGAAAACTGCCCTCCTTGTTTTCTTGTTTGTTGAGCATTTGGGTCTAGCTAAAAGCTAGTGCCGTGGAGCCCAGGGAGAAGTCCTCCTGCACTCAGGCTCCTCTGGCTAGTGTGGGGGCTCAGTGTGGCCCTTCTCTGCAGCCGGAGAACTGCGTGCAGAGTGCTGCCTGCTGCTCTCTGACTCCTCTGAAATTGGTGTGAAGAACATGAAGGGTGTTGTCACTTTGTAAATAGCTCAACTTTGCAAATAGCATAGATGCTTAGGATCACTGGCAGGGAGGGATGGAATTGGGATTGGGGGTGAAGGACAAAAATGTAATGAAAGTGAACATAGGAAAGGAGCAGCACCAGTTTAGAGGCTGTGAGTGGAGGAGTTCTGTCCTGACAGCTGACCACAGATTGGCGAAAGAGTGGAAGGAGACCACCTCCTCTCCTCCCACCCCCACTCCTGCCCCTGCACTCTCAGGAGGGTGCTCGGGTTGGCAGGGAGGAGAGTGGGACAAAAGCCAAAAGGCAGGGGCTGGCCTGGTGGCACAGCGGTTAAGTGCGCACGTTCACTTCAGCAGCCCGGGGTTCGCCAGTTCGGATCCCGGGTGCAGACGTGGCACTGCTTGGCAAGCCATGCTGTGGTAGGTGTCCCACATATAAAGTAGAGGAAGATGGGCACAGATGTTAGCTCAGGGCCAGTCTTCCTCAGCAAAAAGAGGAGGATTGGCAGCAGTTAGCTCAGGGCTAATCTTCCTCAAAAAAAAAGCCAAAAGGCAGAGCCTGCAGGTATGGAGGCCTAGGAGCAGTCCAGCCTGGAGAGAAGTGGTGGAGCTAGGCAAGGGATCCTAGAAAGGCTGAGAAGGGCATGAAAACTGTAACAAGATGGAGGCCTGGGGCTGTGGTCAGCCGCACCAACGTCTGAGAAAGGGGCTGTACTGGCCAGGGCTCTTTCAGCTGAAAGCAAGAAAAATCCAAGTTAAACTGGCCTACACACAGGAAGGAATTTATTGGTTCCCATAAGTGAAAAGTCCAGGGGAATGGCTGGTCTTGAGTATAACTAGATCCAGGACTCCAACGCTACCCTCAAGAAGGTATATGTCTCCTCTGGCTCTTTCTCACTGGCTCCATTCTTGGGTACACCCTCAGACTAGATGACTATGGCCAGCACCAGGCTCGTATCCTGCAAAGAGAGAGGACTGTACAAGTCCAGGGAATGATGCATTGGCTGCAGCTGGGTTGCTTTCCCACAGCTGAGCTAGTCATCCTGACTCAGGCGAGGTGACAGAACCTGGGGGAGGGAGAGGCAACCCCAGAGGGGAAATGGGGGTATGTTCTCAGAAGTGAGGAGTGTAAACTGGGCAAGCAAAATCATCAGGAGAAGGCCCATGGTTTAAGTCACTGTTAGAAGCAGAGGGGCCTCATATATGACATTGTGTACTTAAGTAACTCTTTTCCATGTTTTTCAGCATCTCCACGATACAGTGAAGAGAAATCTCGATAGCGCCACTTCCCCTCAGAATGGCGATCAACAGAATGGCTATGGAGATCTCTTTCCTGGGCACAAGAAGACCCGCCGGGAGACCCCTCTGGGAGTAGCTGTCTCTTCTAATGGCCTGCCTCCGGCCTCCCCTCTTGGTCAGCCTGACAAGCCTGGTACAGAGGCCCTCCAGGCCAGCGGGAAGCACTCACTGGGACTGGACTCCATCAACAAGAAGTGTCTAGCAGACTCAAGCCTCCACCTGAACGGAGGCAGCAACCCCGGAGACTCCTTTCCTCTGAGCCTGAATAAAGAACTGAAGCAGGAGCCAGTCGATGACCTGCCTTGCATGATCGCAGGGGCCGGAGGCTCCATATCTCAAAGCAACCTCATGCCTGATCTCAACCTTAACGAGCAGGAGTGGAAGGAGCTCATTGAGGAGCTGAACAGGTCAGTGCCCGATGAAGACATGAAGGATCTGTTTAATGAGGACTTTGAAGAAAAGAAGGACCCAGAGTCTTCTGGTTCTGCCACACAGACCCCGTTGGCACAGGACATTAATATTAAGACAGAATTCTCTCCAGCAGCCTTTGAGCAAGAACAGTTAGGCTCTCCACAAGGGAGGGCTGGGTCTGCAGGACAGACCTTTATGGGGCCTTCGTCTGGCCCTGTGAGCACAGATTCACCCAGCCTAGGGGCCTCTCAGCCTCTTTTCCACGCCTCTGGTCAGCCCGGGCCAGACAATCCCAGTCCTAACCTAATGCCAGCATCAGCCCAGGCCCAGAATGCGCAAAGAGCCCTCTCCAGTGTGGTATTACCTAGCCAGGGCCCAGGAGGGGCCTCAGAGCTATCCTCTGCCCACCAGCTCCAGCAGATCGCTGCCAAGCAGAAGCGTGAGCAGATGATCCAGAACCCACAGCAGGCTGCCCCAGCAGCAGCCCCAGGCCAGATGTCCACGTGGCAGCAGACAGGCCCCTCCCACAGTCCCTTAAATGTCCCTTATCCTATGGAGAAGCCTGCCAGCCCTCCTGGCTATAAGCAAGACTTCACCAACTCCAAACTGCTCATGATGCCCAGTGTGAACAAGAGCTCCCCTCGGCCCGGAGGCCCCTACCTCCAGCCCAGCCATGTGAACCTGCTGAGTCACCAGCCACCAAGTAACTTGAATCAGAACGCTGTGACTAATCAAGGCTCAGTGCTGGATTATGGCAATACCAAACCCCTTTCTCATTACAAAGCAGACTGTGGGCAAAGTGGCCCTGGGTCTGGCCAGAGCAAGACGGCCCTGATGGCTTATCTTCCCCAGCAGCTGCCCCATCTGAGCAGCGAGCAGAACTCCTTGTTTTTGATGAAACCAAAGCCGCCGGGAAACATGCCCTTCCGATCACTGGTTCCGCCTAGCCAGGTGAGCATGTGGCTTTACTCTCTGTTCCTGGAATCCATCTGGTTACCAACTCCCAGGTAGTTGAGGAACAGAGGGAGGGAAGGAGCAACTACCATCATCCTTTAACCCCCTTGAGAGTGAAAATTGGTCGAGCAAACCAGGGTTGATTCTTAATAAACAAAAATAGGGTAAAAGTCCTTAGTATAACTTGGTTTTAAGTATACACACATTTGAGGAATCAACTGCACTTAGTCTCATGTCTCTTTGATACTACACAGTTTAAATCATTTATGGCTGTATTTTGCAGGTAAAGATCATATTTAATTTTCTTCTTAGAGGCTGTGCTTTTTTTTAACCATGATTCAGATCTCTATGTTCAAACTACCTTAAGTTTTAGAACGCTTATAACATTTTAGGTGAGTACTGCTTCCCAGCACATCTAAACTCTGTGATTCTTTAGTCATGACGCTCAAACCTAACAGAATCACGTGGCTCTGTAGGGTGGAGAATGGCCAAGTACCAGTTTTATCCTGATCATTATTGGCATTTCCACTCATGTTTAAATATGTTCTAAATTGCCTCCTCCCTGGAAGCCTTCTCTTGGCTGCAGCTTGTACAGTAAATAAACACGGACTTCCACAGAGATGAAGCACGCTTGCTTTCTCCCTCCACGCTGTCCTGGACTGTCTTCCACATCTGTGTATGCAGATCCATTGATACTTTTTAGCAGTTGTGTGACAGCAGTATGTAATGTGACAGAGTGTAGGCGTACTGCCTTGCTTCCTGTTTTTCACTACTGTAAGCCTGCAGTGAATACCTTTGTGTGTAGTTTGTGTATTTGTAGCACACTCTAAAATATTAAAAAATTTAAAAACTCAGTAGTGGTGATAGCATGAGGAAATTGACACGCTCATATACTGGTGGGGTGTCTAAATGGGTACATTGCTTTTGGAAAGTATTTTGGCATGATATATTTTTCATAAGCATCAGCACATTATACCCCTGCAAGAAATAATCCAAAAAACGAAGAAAGTTATCTACAAGATATTCATTGCATGATTATTTCTTTTTTTTTAATAGTGTCATTTTATTTTATTATTTTTTTAATTTTTAATTTTTGTGTTTTTGTCTTTTGAGGAAGATTAGCCCTGAGCTAACTATTGCCAGTCCTCCTCTTTTTTCTGAGGAAGACTGGCCCTGAGCCAACATCTGTGCCCACCTTCCTCTACTTTATATGTAGGACGCCTACCACAGCATGGCTTTTGCCAAGCGGCACCATGTCCGCACCCGGGATCCAAACTGGCGAACCCCCGGCCGCCGAGAAGTGGAACGTGCGACCTCAACTGCTGCACCACCGGGCCGGCCCTGCATGATTATTTCTAATAGCCAAAAACCAGAAGCAATTTAAGCATCTCTGAACAGGAGAATGCATGTGTCAGTATTGATACTTCCACTTTCAGCAATTAAACTGCTGCACAGCCACTAACAGAGACCTTCAGGAAGGGCAGCACAGTGACAACTGCGATTTCAGTAGCGCTTTGCCCTTCACAGAGCACTCGTGTAGCCCATACGCTTCCATTGATTGGGGTGAAGAAATTACATCAGAATCTATCTGCACTGACATTAGAATCTTGTAAAGATTAGGTATACAAACAAATGAGGATTGGAGAAGAGCTCATAAAGTTGAACTTAAGTGATCATTGCTTTTTACCTTTTCCTGTTTTGAGTTAAATTTTCCCCTTTTTTAAAAATGTAAGTAATGGTGTTGGGATAATATTGTGGTAACCTTTGACATGACTGTCACTATTGGTCTATGTATTAATAGAGAATATTGGTTAAAGTTCTCATCAGTATGCAGTATTTTTTAAGCATGAATATCTGACAAAAGCCAAGCAGTCTCTTCCCAGGAAAATGCTCTACACACGTGGACAAACCATAGAAATGCTGTACACACGTCGACAAACTATACAATTTCAGGAGGTTCAGGGCCAGCCCCTCGGCAGGGATCCACGTTTTGCACCTGTGAAACTTAGTGTCTCCATCCACCAGAGCCCCTCAGAGCCTCCCTCCTCTGGGGGCCCATCTGCACTCACGCATTCCAGTAAGCAAGCATTTCTAAGCTACAGTTGCATACTAGAACTGTTGTGTGCAGATATACAAGTTTAAGTGTAAAATCATACCTTAACACTGGTGAATGATAGGAAGCAAAGCTAACCTGGAGCCAGTGACTGTTCATTGCTGGGCCTGGGCACTCTGGTGTTAGCTCTTTGGGTCTCCAGTCCAGCCCTGGAGGATGGTTGCACTGGAATCGTCTTCAGGGAAACCGAGGCTTTAAGAGAAAGCCTTGAGCCAGGCTCTCACTGGGCAGAGCTCATCTGCTCTAATCAGGGATTGTAGACTTCACTGTGTCCCACCTGACTTGAGACCCCCTTATCTCTGTTGACAGGAGCAGAACCCTCCCAATGTCCCTGTGCCAGCCCAGGCTGCCAGCGGTGGGGCGCAGCCGCCCACTGCGTCTGTGGCCAGTACTCACAGCAGCACCCCCTATCTCAGTAGCCAGCAGCAGGCAGCTGTAATGAAGCAGCATCAAATGCTTTTGGACCAGCAGAAACAGAGGGAGCAGCAACAAAAGCATTTGCAGCAACAGCAGTTCTTGCAAAGGCAGCAGCACCTTCTGGCAGAACAGGTAAAAAGAAAGGTGGAATAAAAGCCCTACCACCCTTACCTCTGCCTGCCTCCCAGGTCAGCACAGTGGCAGCATGTCCACTGTTCAAGTGCTTTGCCCTTTTAAACCCCTTTCCAAGAGTGTGGCATTTTTCAGACGGTGGTGGCCTGTGTCAGAAACAGCATTATGTCACTTAGGGGGGATTAATGGAGGCAGAATCTGTGGCTAAATGTATTGGGAACCTTTTTCCATGACCCTTCTTGGCCTCTACCAAAGCACTAAGCCAACTGGTCCGCTGGTTCCCTGCAGGGCCCAGCTTTGTTGTAAATATAGTTTGTTATTATTTTATTTATTTATTTTTTTTTAAGATTTTATTTTTCCTTCCAAAGCCCCCCGGTACATAGTCGTGTATTTTTAGTTGTGGGTCCTTCTAGTTGTGGCATGTGGGATGCCGCCTCAGCATGGCCTGATGAGCACTGCCGTGTCCATGCCCAGGATTCGAACCGGTGAAACCCTGGGCCGCCTCAGCAGAGCACACAAACTTAACCATTCGGCCACGGGGCCGGCCCCAATATAGTTTATTATAAGCCAGAACGTGAAGCAGGGAAATGAAGATGTCCCTGAGGTCCTAGGATCCTAGAATCAGGACCGACAAGCCCCCTCCAAGTCCTGCAGTTTACCTAGTTGGTCATCAAGTGTAGCGTACAGGCACCAAGTACAAGAGTTCTCAGGATTTTAAATTACATCTTTAAGACAAGAGAAGAACTAGCTGCCCAGAGGATAAAGTTGATTGAGGATGACTTTAAAACCCACATCACTGCCTCAGTTCTGCCATTTTTTATTGGGGTATAATTCATATGACATACAATTCATCTATTTAAAGTGTACAATTCACTGGTTTTTAGTATATTCACAGACTTGTGCAACCATCACCACAGTCAACTTTAGACCATTTCATCACCTAAAAAGAAACCCTATACCCATTAAAAGTTTTTGCCCCATTCCAGGCCTAGGCAACCACTAATCTACTTTTTGTCTCTGTAGATTTGCCTGTTCTGGACATTTCGTATAAATGTATTCAAGGTTCAACCATGTAGCCTATATCAGTACTTCCCTCCTTTTTATGGCTGAGTAATATTCTGTTGTATGAGTATGCTGTGTTTTATTTATCCATTCACCTGTTGATAGACATTTGGGTTGTTTCCCCTTTTTGTCGACATAGGTTTTCAGTTTCATGAGTGTTCTGCCCAGGGATGGAATTGCTGGGTCGTATGGTAACTCTTATGTTTAACCTTTGGAGGAACTACCAGACTGTGTTCCAAAGTGGCTGCACTCTTTATGTTCCCACAGCAGTGTACGAGGATGCCAGTTTCTCCACGTCCTTGCCACATATAGTTGGCTTTTGTTTTTTGTTTTTTGTTACTTGTTTTTTTTTAGGAAGATTAGCCCTGAGCTAACTACTGCCAATCCTCCTCTTTTTGCCAAGGAAGACTGGCCCTGAGCTAACATCCGTGCCCATCTTCCTCTACTTCTATGTGGGATGCCTACCACAGCATGGTGTGCCAAGCGATGCCATGTCCTCACCCAGGATCTGAACTGATGAACCCTGGGCCACCGAAGCGGAATGTGCGCACTTAACTGCTGCGCCACCAGGCTGGCCCCATATAGTTGGCTTTTGATTCTAGCCATCCTGGTGGGTGTGGAGTGGTGTATCACTGTGGCTTTGATTTGCATTTCCCTGATCTGCCCTCCATTTCTTTAACCTGATAATACCACCTTTTTTTAAAATCATCGTTCCTTAGACCTGCCCCCTCCTTCTGTTTTATACTGTTTTTGTAAAATCCCCCAAATGAGATCACCAGCGTTATCTCCACAGGAGTCCTTCTGTGAGTAACAAAGTTAGGTAGTCCACTTTTCTCTGATTTAACTCTGTTTTTGTTTTATGTGCATCTTATTGTTTTGTTCTGTTGTTGGCATTTTCTAGGAGAAGCAGCAGTTCCAGCGCCATCTGACCCGCCCACCACCCCAGTACCAAGACCCGACACAGAGCACCTTCCCACAACAGGTTGGACAGTTCACAGGTGAGGGGCATCCGAGGCGATGGAGTAGGGGCAGGGGAGGCAGGCACCGACAGAGCAAAGGTCTGGTCCACTTGCGCTGAGTTCCTGCTGTCTGCCTAGCTTCACGCTAGGTGCTAAATGGATTTACTCACTCAAGTAAATTCAGTCTGCCTAAGGAGCCTGGCTTTCTAGTTACCCCGCAGGCCAGGAAACAGGGTCACTGAGGCAGACTGCTGTGGCTAAGCACTTTGACTGGGTCCCTGGCTATACATTCTTCTGAAGCAAAATCGTTTCTTTTTTTTTTTTTTTGAGGAAGATTAGCCCTGAGCTAACTGCTGCCGATCCTCCTCTTTTTGCTGGGGAAGACTGGCCCTGAGCTAACATCCATGTCCATCTTCCTCTCCTTTATATGTGCGACGCCTACCACAGCATGGCTTTGCCAAGCGGTGCCATGTCCGCACCCAGGATCCAAACTGGCAAACCCTGGGCCGCCGAAGCAGAACGTGTGCACTTAACCGCTGCGCCACCGGGCCGGCCCCTGAAGCAAAATCATTTCTAGTTGGAGAATATCTTATCAATAGGAAACAGCTTCTGTAATTCTTAAGAAAGTTCTTTGCTTCTGCCGTTATCTGTCTCTTCAAAAAATGACCCTCTCCTATTTTCCAGATAAGGAGAGACAACGCACTGTGTGGCCTTACACTTCTTCCTGTTTGCTCACTTTGGTGTCACGAGTGGCAGCATCAGAAAAGGGCAGGAAGCACTTTGAGGTCTTAGCTGTCATGTCTCAGATATGCAAGGGAACCTGACTGCCGTTGCTCAGGCTGTCATTCCAGAAATACATAGATTTTAGTTGACAGGTGCAGTAAAATGTTGTCTGTACCTGCCTTCCTAGCTCTTCTTGGAATATCTTCAAAACGTTTCCTTTCTTGGTCAATGACTCTCACTATAAAGTGTCTCAGAGAAGCTGACTACAGCTGAGCATTCTGGAGGAGACTAGATGGAGTTTTATGTGTGTGCTGAGACTGTGGAGTCGAAATCTGCAGGCATCTCAGAAGCCTGGGTCTCAGCCAGCTCTTCTGCCTTCACCCCCCGTAATGTGGCTGTGGGCTGTCAGTGGGAGTGAAACAGACTATTTCAGCTCTCCTCTTTTCTTCAGCCCAGTTTTCAGTTAGGTGCTAGTAGAGAGAGAGAGAAGAGAAACAAAGCACTGAGCTGTGGCCAGCCCTGGGACAATCACTCTCCTACCCACAAAAGCTTGTCTCAGTGTTATCACTTGTGCATCTGTTGCTGAAGGCAGAGCCCCAGACAGCAGGTTCCCTGAGGACGGGACCTCTCTGTCCTCCCGTTCCCTGCTATCTCTCCAGCACAGCGCCTCGCACAGAGCAGGTGCTTGGGAAACATCTGCCAACGTCAGTCTAGACTTCTCCCTCCCACGACCACCTTGTTGTTCTGTGGTGTAAGGAATAGGAGTTCACATTCTCCCTCTCTTACCCCCTGTGCCACATTGGAGGAGCCCCTCACCTAAGTGATTTTAACAGCTCTGCCCAGCAGAGTCTAAACCACAATCCTGGTCCAGTGACCCTTTGGCCTTGCAGCTCTTTCCTTCACGTGGCAGCCGCAGCTCTTCTGGATCTGGCCAGGACTGTCTCTTCAGTCTTAGCTCTAACCAACTGGATGCTTTCCCCACACCCCAGCCACACAGTCCCCACACAGACTGCCTTCCGTAACTCTGTGCCTTTGCACGTTCTTTTCTCTGTTTAGAATACTGTTGCTCTAAACTATTAATTACTAAACTTCTACGCTTTTAAAACCCAATATATTTGTCATCATCTCTCTGAAGCCTTCTCCAAATCTTCCCAGGCATTAAACCTTCAGTCCCCTGCACTCCCACAGCCTGCTGTCCAGCCTTTGTTGGTGTAACCCTGTCACACCACATGGAGTCTGTGCTTCCCAAAGGCAGATCCTAGATTGGATCCGTCTTGGAGTCCCCAGTGCCCAGCACAGGACCTACCACAGAGCAGAAATGGGGTGGGCCTTTGAAAGGTGAACCGAGTCCTCTGGCTTGCCCTCCCCTTGGGCTTTGCCCCTTCCTCTCTGCCTGTCTTAATCCCCTCGTTGCTCCAGACAAGCCTCCATTTCACCCTGTGGGAAACCTGCTGCCCCTTGGCCCCCAGTGCGCTCTTCTTTGAGGTTCCATTGACCATGAGATATCTTGGGTTCTGATTTTGCCTCTCTTCCCTGTAGGGTAGCAGCTGCAGCTTGGGTCTTGAAGGTGTCTCCACAGTGGTGGTCAAGAAATGCCAGCTTGATTGACAGACTCTTCTCTGTCTTCTAGGGTCCTCTGCTGCCATGCCTGGCATGAACAACTTGGGTCCATCTAATTCCACCTGTCCTCGAGTGTTCCCTTCAGCCGGGAATCTGATGCCAATGGGCCCTGGGCACACTTCAGTTTCCTCTGTCCCCTCGAACTCAGGCCAGCAGGACCGAGGTGTGGCTCAGTTCGCTGGCTCCCAAAGCATGCCACAGAGCAGCCTCTATGGCATGGCCTCTGGCATAACCCAGATAGTTGCCCAGCCCCCGCCACAGGTCACCAACGGACATGCCCACATTCCACGGCAGGCCAGCGTGGGCCAGAACACCTCAGTTTCAGCTGCCTATGGGCAGAACTCTCTGGGGAGCTCTGGCCTCTCCCAACAGCACAATAAGGGAACCCTGAACTCTGGTTTAACTAAGCCACAGGTCCCAAGGGTGTCAGCGGCCATGGGAGGCCAGAATCCCTCATGGCAACATCAAGGAATGGCAAACCTGAGTGGCCAGACCCCAGGGAACAACACTGTAAGCCCCTTCACTGCAGCCTCCAGTTTCCACCTGCAGCAGGCCCACCTGAAAATGTCCAGCGCGCAATTCTCCCAGGCGATGCCCAGCAGGCCCATGGCCCCCATGAGCTCGGCAGCTGCAGCGGGATCCATGCTGCCCCCTGTGAGCGCACAGCAGAGGACCAGTGCCCCTGCCCCAGCACCTCCCCAGGGAGCTCCGCAGCAGGGCTTGCCAGGCCTGAGCCCAGCAGGGCCTGAGCTGGGAGCCTTCAGCCAGAGCTCCGCTCCACCGATGGGCGGCCGGGCAGGGCTGCACTGCACCCAGGCCTACCCCGTGCGGACCGCGGGCCAGGAGCTGCCCTTTGCCTACAGTGGGCAGCCAGGCAGCAGCGGGCTGGCCAGCATGGCTGGAGATGCCGACCTGATCGACTCCCTGCTGAAGAACAGGACTTCGGAAGAGTGGATGAATGATTTGGATGACCTTTTAGGGCCTCAGTAACAGCAGAATTTGTGGTGTTTTCAGTGTTTATACATCCTGTATTTTTGTTCTCAGATTCAAGAAAGAGCAAGTACTTTGGACCAAAAGCACAGGGCCCAGGGAGCTGGACGGGTAGAGCCAGAGCCCTGAGGCTGAGGCCCGGCCCTTGCCAGGACCTGCGGGGCCCGAGGCTCTGAGCCAGCAGTTGTGGTCTGTTGGGCTGGCCCCAGCCCCTCTGCTGGCATCAGTACCTGGTATTGGGACAGCAGGACAGGGTTCTACAGGTGGTTTTCTATCCAAGTGACCAAAACCAACAGTAACGACAGTGAAGCCCCACGATGTCAGGCTTGTAAAAGTCTGCTGTCATGTTGATCAGTCCAAGGTTTCTCCACGTGCCCTAGTGTTGGGGACAGGTTCTGTTGAAACTTTATATAGCAGAACTATTTGCAAATTGTAGCATAGAAAAAAATTTTTTTAAAAAGGTTTTAAAACAGATTAGGATAGGTGGTGGTTTAAATTGATCAAGTGGCATTGGGAACCTAGGGTTTCCTTTTGATTAAGAGCCTTTTTTATTCGTGCTCTTTGTCAGCTTTCAGGGGAAAATGAGGGTCACTGGAAAATCATTTGTGTAAGTGCAGGCTGTGACTGCATGTGCCAAAAAGGAACAGGATGCCGTGAGATAGCAGAGCGAGTGACAGATCTTTCCAGCAGCTCCTCCTCCTTCTAGAACGCTCTTCTTCCAGGTTGGCATTTACCAGGACCTGCCAAGGACCTCCCCAGGGCGTTGGTAGTGGGATCCTAGGCAACCCCCAGGCTAAATGCTGAAATGGCATATTTGGGATTCCTATGTGTTCTTTTGTTTGTAACTTCCCGCCATTTGCAGTTTCTCTGAAAACTTACATTTAACATGTTAGGAAGGTGGTCATTGTTGAGTTGCGCACAGATGTCTTTCCTTCACCCCATCATCAGTTCCCATGTCCTTTCTTCCTGCCTCTCCTCCTTTCTCCAGCCCAAATGGAAAACCTCTAAAGCAAAGATTTACTAGATTGGAGGGGAAAAGAGAGAGTCAGTGAAATTCCTAGGGGGCCCTGGCATTGTAGGGAAGAAGGTATCCCATCCCCAGAAAGGAAAGGTTTGGGGGAGGGAGAAAAGAGGTGGCCCCATTTGCAGGGAGTCTGCAGGCCTGGTCAGAGAACAGCCTTCCGCTCTGCTGTACTACTCCTTCCACTCCCATACCATATGACTTGCACTTTTTAAAGAGAATTGCTTTATAACACTAATACATCTTTTATAAAGATTCAAATGGATTTCTCTCTCAATTAGTGGAGTTGACTAAGCTGAGAGTCCACAAAGCAGGCGATTACCTGTGGGCTATTTGTGGAAAGCAAAGACGGAGAGAGCACTTCGGTATAATAAAAGCAAAATGGTAGCTCAGGGTGAGACCCTTTTAAACAGTGTTGGAGAGAAGATAGTACACTGAATAGAGTGGCTTATATGCAGAGTGGTCTCGGAGAAACCACAACCCCGCTTTGTTTTCCCTGGAGCCTCAAAATGGATAATTCAAGGAGTATCGTATGTAAAGAATTGAGCCAAGGAACATATTCACACAGCCAGCCTGAATGGCTTTGAGGGGGTGAAGGATTGTACACACTTCGGTAATTATTTTGCACCAGTAGTGCCTTTCATGGGGGTACTTAGGCCCTCAGATCCTCTTCTCTAATAGCCATTTGCCACCACAGGTGGTGTTTGGGCCATTTCCCCTTTAAATACCCTCCCTGCCTTGCCCAAATGCTGAGTTTAGCTCTCAAAGAAGGGAATGAATCATTAAGCCAGTGAAGACTCCACCCTCTGAGTGAGTTCCCCAATCTGAAGGGGAAGGAGGGTGACTTCAGTAGGTTTTCTACCAAAAATAGTGGGCTGAAGGCTGGTGATGGGCACTTCCTCCTCTCCTGGTCTCCCTCTGGCTGCTGCTCACCTCTGTCCTGGGGTGCTGTGCCTCCCATCCCAGGGAGGACTGCCCTTGCCTTAGTCCTGAGGCTGCCTAGACAGCAGGCTGCTCACTTGCTGCAGTGTCAGAGCAATAAAATGTGACGCCTGGGGTCCCCCCAGGGAGCTGCCCGTGGCTTTATTCGCGAGTCTGGTTTTTGCGTGGGCAAGGGAGGAGGTGACTCGGCTTCAGCGCAGATCCCCATCTTCCAGGAACCATGACTCAAAAGGGTGCTCGGACTTTTGTTATACACATTCGCTTTGTGTAAATAAATGTTTACAATTTTCTATTAAAGATGGAATAAGCGTTAGAGCTTCTGACTGTATATTTTTTACTTTTATAGATTTTAAAACTATGATCCTTTATATATGTGTTTTGGGGGAGCTATGATAAGTTTTATGGCAAACAGTTGGTATTGTTAACTTTTTATTGTCATCAGAATACATAAAAATCCTATTAATCCCCTTATTCTTCTACTTCCCCTAACTCTGGTATACACCAAAAAGAAATCTTTACTTTCCTTGTTTTATCATCATAAAATAATAAAAATATTTTGCTAGTATGCAACTGCCCGTGTACTTGACTTCCCATGGCCATGCCAGCAGGTAGGAGCTGGACCTGGCCGTGACTGCTTTGTTTGGTGGTTGGCTTTCTTTTGTGATTTAGCTGCTTTCTTATTGCGTGGTGGTGGCGGCCGGGGATTTGATTTACCTCAGAGTAACTTCTGTTGTGTGACGACAGCTATGAAATGAGAACTGACGTTACTCAGGGCCACCAGCCTCTCCCCTCTCTGGGGCTCACCTGTGTCCTTGTGTCTGACGTGAGGGAAGTTGGACCAGGTAACTCAGGGGTACTTTAGGTCCCTAGCAGATCAAATGTTTTACTTAAAGCTCTTAGGGTTACCCTCAAAGCAGTTCTCCAGGTCATATTTCGTCTCCCTTTTATTGTGAAGAACATGGGCTCTGGCACATGCACCCAGCCATTGCTGTCAGTGTCAAACTGTGAGGGGGCATGAGATGGTGGCAGAAGCCACTCCAAGGAGCCTGGAAAGCAGATCTCAGTGACGTCTCACCTTGGTGACCATGGGCTAGCAGTGGGTCAGACCTGGAGAAGCCAGAGTGCCTGCAAGGGTGGGGAAGAGCAGCCTTCCAGGAGGCGAGGCCAGAACTGTCCTGTGATGGAATTAACTGTGGTTGTTCTAATGAAACCTAAATATAGCCTTGTATAGGAAGCGCAGGAAAGGAAAAACTCAAGACTCTGTGAAGTCTTGGCTGAAGGTGTGCAGAAGGGCTGGGGCGGGGTGGGGGACAGTTCACCCTCACCAGTGATCAAAGAAGCGCAAATTAGAACGAAAATGAGATGATTCTGCCCATCAGAGGAGTAAAGGGTAATCACCCTCTGCTGGCTGGAGTGGAGAGGCAGGCTCCTGTAGAACTTTGTGGGGAGAAATTTTAAAGACGGCGTCAAGCTCCTCAAAATGTTAATGCCATCTGTCCAGCCCAACAATTCCAACTCTGAGAAGCCGTCCTTGAAAATAATTCTGGGTGCAGAAGAAAGGTCATAGCACAGGTGTTCATAGTGGCACGGTGTGTGACTGCAGAAAACCAGGAGAATCTAAATAGCTGTCAAAGGGAGTGCATTAGGTAAATTGTGGTACTTCCATCTGATGAGATATGATACAGTTATTTTAAACATTTCTAAATATTTATGAAGTAACTTGGAATGATGGTTTTATTGGGCTTCGTGTTATCAGCCAATAGAAAAGAAATCTGGCTAATAAAACCCTAAAAATTCCCTGCTCCTAGCCTGTTCTTAAGGTTAGCAGGTAACTCCCAGATCAAAGGATGCACTAAACAGCCAGGCCTCAGGAGGGGCGAAAGCCAGGCAGTTCAGATCTCTGGAACTCGGTCACCACCCACATCTGTTGCAGGCCTCCAGCTGGGCTCTTGGGGCGATGGAGGCAGCTGACTCGGCAAATGTTTACGGAGCACGTGCCGTGGCCAGGCATTGCGCTAGGAGCCAGGGACTAGAGGAGCAGCATAGGAGGGCTCAGGCACTGTTCCTGGAGTCTGCAGTCTTGTGTAACATAATCATCATAGACAGGGCAAGATGATTTTGGAGTGTTAAGTGTCAGGGAGAAACTGAAACAGGGTGAGGAGATGGAAGGCGCTGGGGCTGAGGGGATAGAGGGGAACCCCAAGATGACTTTAGATATGATGCTGAGGGCAGGCCCCTCCAAGGAGACATTTAACTGAGGCTGAGTGCTAGAAAGGAGCCAGCCTCCCGTGGCCAAGTGGTTAAGTTTGCGCACTCTGCTTCAGCTGCCCAGAGTTTTGGCAGTTCGAATCCTGAGCGCAGACATGGCACCGCTCATCAGGCCACGCTGAGGCGGCGTCCCATGTATCACAACTAGAAGGACCCACAACTAAAATATATACAACTGTGTACTGGGGGGCTTTGGGGAGAAAAAAGGAAAAGTAAAATCTTTAAAAAAAAAAAGCCAGCCAGAGCTCAGGGGAAGAGCAGTTCACGGCCACAGGGACAGGAAAGGAAGTTCCCAAAAGGAAGAGGGGTGCTGTTAACAGGAGGAATGCTGAGCAGGCAAAATTAACAGATGCCAACGTGTGTGAAATTAAAAACACGAAGGATGTGCTGTTGCATATAGTGGGGGAGTGGCCCTTGCCCTGCTATGGGGTGCCTTGAGCGCAGCAGTGTCTGCAATATGGGCCTGCGCTACCCCGGGGCCTCTGCCAGGCCAGGCTAAAGAGACACCCAAGGTAAGACTGGATCCCATGTTCAACCCTGGGGTTGGACTGCCCCTATCATCATCAGCAGCAGCATTATCAATAAGGCAGCCTTAAGGCCAGCTGGCTGATGAGGGCCTGGAAGTGGCATTGTGGCTGTAAAGCTGTTGAAAGATGTAAAGTGGTGGTTGCCTGTGAACTTGGTCCAAGGCTAGTGGCTGAATTCAACTAAAAGTTCCAGACACCCCCCAGGCCAGCACAAGCAATGGTGGGCGATGTCTGGGAAACAGACCTGTCCTCCTGCACACAGGATAAATTTGCCTTACTGGACCTTTCCCCTTTTGTCTTCGAGCTGGTAATGCACCTGCCACTTTTCAGATTGACTGGGCTTATGTTTCAAAGGTAATTTGCTCTCTGAATGGTTGCAAGAGCTGGGCTGTAGACTCTAGTCAGTGCATGCAGACCATTTCATGAAAATTGGAAGAATAACTTAAGACCCTCAACCAAAGTGGAAACCAGCTTGACAAGGACAGAACTCATGGATCCACCTCATTATCAATGTCCTGGAATGCAGTCTCTGAGAGGGGAAACCTGCATGAGGAAAAGGAGATGCTATCTGCCACAGAAAGCAGGAGACATATGTCAGTGTCCCAAGGGGCATGGGGATGCAGGATTCCCTGCTCTGTCCTGTGTGGCCAAGTTGGAAGCCTTCCCCGCTGAGGTGACAGGCCCCGTGCAGCCGGCACGGGGGGAGCAGGGCGCATGTTAGGGCATCACAGGCGTCCACGCAGAGGGCTCCTTTGTCCCTGTATCTGGAAAGCAGAACATTTCAAGTTTACAGAAGGAAAAGAATGATAGATTCTTAAGTCATGAAGGATCTAATTCCACTTGATGCAGCCGAGATGAGCGCTCACTGGACCCCCTTTGGATTTATCACTGACACCGTCAGCACCTCTCGTCTTGAATCGTACGGTAGCAGATTGCTTCTCTACTTTCCCAAGCACCCAGGTGCTTTTCTCCAACTCGGGGAGGAGCCCAACTACATAGTCACCTTCAAAGTCAAGAGCTGCAGACATTGCTGTCCCTCCTCCTGTCATGTCACCCTCAGAGCTGGAGACCTGAGGGAGTCTTAGCTCCAGAGTAGTAAAAAAGTCCAAATCTGCTTTATTGATTACATTCCCCCCACGCCATTTCTTCTTTTTGACACTGGCTTGTGCAGTAAAAGACGCTTTTCTGAAACTCTGCAGCTGCCTCTCGTTCCTTCCCTTGAGCCTGTCCTACCCCACCTGCTCCGTTATCCTCGCTCTCCATCCAACCTTCCCATGGAATCATAGCCACTCTGTGGCATTATGGGAAGACCAGAGCAAGAGAACAGCGCTCCCCTCGGGACGAGGGTGGGCCTGCTGCCCCTTCAGGGCCGAGAGACTCCTTCCCCCACACGCCAGGAAGTTGGCTGCTGCCAGCTCACAGCTGAGTCTTGCTGGGACTTGCCTGCAGTGGAAGGGAGCCGCCTTGCCCATGACTATGCCCCCTTCCCAGGGGCAGCCCACATCTGGAGACTGCTCAGTATGGGAGTACAAAGGCCCAGCCCCTTTCCGTAATTTGGGACATCTCCAAAGGGCCACCGCAGCTCCCCGGTGCCTGTGGGATGGTCTGATGCCTCATGTTGTAACCGCATCTCAGTTCAACTGTTCCGTGCCCAGTCCAGCCGCCCTTCCACACTCACAGGTGGCGTTCCTTGTGTGCTGACCCCCGCTGAAAGCTGCTTCTGGGGAAGCCAACCTAAGAGGGTTGGAGTGAGGAGTGCTCTCAGAGCCAGCTCTGCACTGGGAGCTGCCCAGCAACAGGAGCCCCATCGCTGGTGACCGTGGGGTGGGGAGAGCTGCTGGCCTGTTGTCGTTTAAAGCCTTTCAGCATAGCGATACTGGGATATGATACTGGAGAAGGGAATGCAATATCCTAGGCCTCCAAGAAGTTTAAAGGAAGGAGTAATTATAAGAACTATGGAACAAAAGACAAAAAAGTGTTGGTGGGGATGGAGACATGGAACCCTTGTGTACTATTGTGGGAAAGCAAATGGCGCAGCCGCTATGGGAAACAGTATGGGTGTCCCTCGAAAAGGTAAAAGTAGAACTACCATATGATCCAGCTATCCCACTTCTGGGTATTTACTTATTCAAAAGAATTGAAATCAGGAGCTATTAGCACTCCCATGTTCATTGCACTATTCACACTAGCCAAGATGTGGAAACAACCTAAATGTCCATCGACAGATAAATGGATAGATAAAATGTGGTATTTACATACAGTGGAATATTATTCAGTCTTAAAAAAGGAAATTCTGCAATATGCAACAACATGAATGAATTTTGAGAACACGTGAAGTGAAATAAGCCAGCCACAAAAAGACCAATACTGTATAATTCCACTTATATGAGGTCGAATTCAGAGAATCAAAGAGTGGAATGGTGGCTGCCAGGGGCTGGGGGCAGGGGAGATGGGGAGTAGCTAATCAAGTTTCAGTGAAGCAAAATGAGTAAGTTCTAGAGATCCACTGTACGACAAAGTCAAGAAGACTCTACTGTACACTGAAAAATTTAAGAGGGCAGATCTCATGTTGTCTTCTTACCACAATAAAATTTAAAATAAAATAAAACAATAAAAAAATTCTGGCTTCAGAGGGCTGTCCCTGGTGGCCATCCATGATGCATTGGAGAAAGACAGTGAAAAGCCAAGGATGAATATCACTGACTCCAGGCAGAATGTGAAATCAGAGGGCCTCCTTGGCAGCCTGTGAGAAGGCCAGACAAAGCGGCGG